ACTCAGATTAAGTCTTTAGCAGAATAACAACCTGTCAGGATTCAAGTCGTGCCTCTAAACTGCTTTCAGGAGCGACTCGCTCGGTCTCACGGCTCTCAGTGTGGATTCTGCAGTCCGGGAATCGTCATGTCCATGTACGCTCTGCTGAGGAATCGGCCGACACCAAGGATGGCCGACGTGGAGGAGGCTTTCCAGGGTATTTATCTGTGTTTTGATCATTTATCAGTTTATTGATTGGGGGGACAGAAGCCATCAGATCAGACTGACAACAAGATGATCTTTGCTTTCAGGGAATCTGTGTCGCTGCACCGGATATCGACCGATCCTGGAGGGATTCAAGACGTTCACCGTGGTGAGAAGGGATCCTGCTTTAGACGCTCCTGGTTCACTTTAACTCTCTGTGGTTCACTTTAACTCTCTGTGGTTCAGTTTAACTCTCTTCTTGCGGTATCCGACGCAACTTTGCTCGGATCCACATATGACAGGAGCAAATAAAGTTCTGACGCGTAGTTCTTCTTCGTTCCGTTTATTATATTCAAAAGGACAGATTTCATAATGTTCGTATTAGACTACGGTCAAAAAACTGGCGTCCTACCACTCCTGCCAGCTCCTCCCCCTCACCTGTCTCCTGTGAGTAAATCAGGCTCACAAAAAAGGTGGAGCTGGCGAACACCATTCAGTGCCCAACACCAAGCACCTGGTGACATTCTGTCCCTCCATCAGACATCTGAATCAAATCATAGCTCCAACATCTCTATCTCATGTTCCTTTGCTGAGGTCCATGTTTCTGCATAACGTCCTGCAGCTCAGTGGAACCAGAACCATGAAAGAGGAGACAGAACTCTCAGACGTCTTCTGTCAGCAGGACTCAGTCAGAACAAAGGAATCCAGAGAGAAGAAACTTTTGTCTTCACATAGCAGAGAAATGTCTTTTTTGACCCTTTGACAGCCTCTGAAGCACTCTGCTTTCTCTTGTCTTGACTGATTTTGTTTTTGTGTGCCTCAGTTTTATGGTTTGGTTTCTCTTTGTGCCGGTTCCATCTGTTTGTGGTGATTTCGGCAGCTGGAGGTTCACTGTGGATGGATGGTCCAACCACGGGCTCCTCTGGATCCTCCATTTGATCTACTTTTACTGGTCCAGGATGTCTTAGTTCTGCTGTTTGTTGGTTTTTACCGAATCTGATGAGAACAAACGTTTTATTTTAGGACACTGTTTCAATGAGACATGAAGCGACTTTGATCAAACATCATGAATTTAGGCTCAGATCTGGTGAAGTCTGACTCTGTGACTGTTTTTCCGTCCAGGAGGGGGCGTGCTGTGGAGGCAGAGGGCGGGAAAACGGCTGCTGTTTGACCAATGGGAGCGCAGCTGACAAAACCTCTGATGATGTAAGTGTGAGCGCTGTGTTTCCAGCAGCGGTAATGCTTTCACCCGTAAACTGTGGTTTGTTTCCCTGCAGGAAGCCCCGCCCCTGTTTAGCGCTGCAGACTTTATGCCTTTAGATCCAACGCAGGAAGTCATCTTCCCCCCCGAACTCATGGTAAACACAGCAGTTGCCACGGCAACCATCTAAAATCACGATTCCATCACATATGTTTACAGACAGAAGGCTCAGCTTCCTTCCTTCGTTCTTTTCTCCCTTCCTTCCTCCTGTACTTCTTTCATACCTCCCTCCCTCATTTCCTTCCTTCCTTCCTTCCTCCCTCCCTCCCTCCCTCCCTTCCTTCTTTCCTTCCTTCCTTCCTCCCTTCATTCCTTCCTTCCTCCCTTCCTTCCTGCCTTCCTTACTTCCTCCTAGACTTTGTCTAAAGGTCAGAGGTCACAGTCACTGTGTTTCCGTGGAGACCGATCGACGTGGCTGCAGCCGGACAGTTTGGACGAGTTTCTGCGTCTGAAATGGAAACATCCAAATGCTAGAGTGGTGGTGGGCAACACAGAAGTGGGTCAGTCTACCTCCATCCATCCATCCATCCATCCATCCATCCATCCATCCATCCATCCATCCATCCATCCACTGTTCGTTCACTGGCTCACTCTCTGTGTTCAGGTATTGAGGTGAAGTTTAAGAACACGGTTTATCCGATAATTCTTTCTCCGACCTTCATCTCCGAATTGAATGCTGTGACTCACACCGAGGACGGTGAGTACAACTAATACTGATGATAACAAACTAACTCCAGCACCTACTTACTCCAACCCTAGCTAACTTGAACCCTGTCTAACTCTAACCCTGTCTAGCCCTGCCTAACTCTAACCCTGTCTAGCACTAGTCCTGACTAACTGTAACCCTATCTAACACTAACCCTCACTAACTCTAACTCTAACACTAACCCTGACAGGCCCTTACCCTGTCTGACCCCGACTAACTCTAGCCCTGACAAACACTGCCCCTGACTAAATCTAACCCTGTCTAGCACTAATCCTGACTAACTCTAACCCTGTCTAGCACTAATCCTGACTAACTCTAACCCTGACTAACACTACCCCGACTAACTGTAACCCTGTCTCGCACTAATCCTGACTAACTCTAACCCTGTGTAGCATTAATCCTGACTAACTCTAACCCTGTCTAGCACTAATCCTGACTAACTCTAACCCTGTCTAACACTAGCCCTGACTAACAATAGATAACCCTAGCCCGCACTTATAATACTAACTAACCACTGGTAACCAGTTAGTTCTGGTCGCTACGTTAGCCTCCTGGGTTTGAAGTGCGTGTTTTTACACAATTTGTTTGTCCAGAACCTGCAAACAGAATCATCAGAGTTTCACTTTTTCAACATTTGATTCCTTCAAGTGATCAAATGTTGAGAAAGAAAAGCAGATGAAAGAAGTTCGGTGTTAGAAATGTGGAACCGAGTTGATGACAACTAGCTGAAAATTAAACCTCTGTGTTTGTGCTCAGGAATTGTGTTTGGTGCGGCATGCACTCTGAGCCACATGGGGGCGGTACTGAGGCAGGCGGCCGACGCTCTTCCTCCTCATCGGACCGAAGTCTTCCTTGCTATCCTGGAACAGCTGCGCTGGTTCGCTGGACAACAGATTCGAAATGTGGCGGTGAGTCGCTGTTTGTTATCTGTTCTAAAGTTAGACATGAGTGTGGTATGGGTCAGCCAGCATGGCGGTGACACATTTAGCTTGGTTTGAACTCAGGGCTCGTCCAGGATCATACTAAATCGGTGAGTTTAGTTTCGTGGGACTTTGGCTGAGGAGGAACGAGGAATATTTCAGGAAATACACCAAGCAAGTGGATGTTCTCCGGGAAATATTCTGATTCTGTTCAGCCGTTTAGAAAGAATTTCCTGTTTCTTTGTGTTTGCTTTGAGCGACAGAAGGTGTTGAACTCGCTGTGTTGAATCATCGTCTGTCTAGTAAAAGTGATTGCGTAGTGTATTTGTGTGTTAAGCGTGACCGTTGTGTCTTCAGGCTGTTGGGGGAAACATCATGACCGCGAGCCCCATATCTGACCTGAACCCTGTTTTTATGGCGGCAGGCTGCAGACTCACACTGATGGACAAAGGTAACACTCCCTGCCTTTATTTTGTACTTCACTGAGAGTTTACTTTGAAAGGGCCTACTAACTGTGCAGTCATGTGACCTCTGACCTCTGTTGTCTGTAAGACGGCAGTCGTGTGGTTCAGATGGACGACGGTTTCTTCACAAGTTACAGGAGGACGATTCTGCGACCGCAAGAAGTCCTGCTCTCCGTGCACATCCCATACAGCAAGAAGGTACAGTCACCTAGCAACCACCTCCAGTCACCTAGCAACCACTGTCTGTTTCGTAGAGACTCATTCTGTTACCTGAAAAACAACTCAGTCTCCTAGCAACCACGACCAGTTTTCCAGAAACCAGTGCCAGTAGCCCAGCAACCGTCTGTCTGTCAACCAGAAACGTTGTCTGCGGCGTAGAAACCACCGTCTGTCAGAAACATTATCCATCATCGAGAAACTACAAGTTTCTTAACGGCAACATGTCAGTTACCTAGCAACCACTGTCAGTCACTTAGCAACCCTCACAATGTTGTCTGAATCAGAGTACCTGTCACTTAGCAACTGCTTCCCAATGCCTAGTAACCAGAGCTGTGCTCGCCTTCTGACTCTGTCTTGTCTCCTCAGAATCAGTTCGTCTCCGCCTTCAAACAGTCTCCTCGCCGCGAGGATGACATCAGCATCGTCACCGCGGCGATGAGCGTCACTTTCACTGCGGGGATGAATGTGGTCGAGGACCTGAGGCTGAGCTATGGCGGCATGGCGGCCACCACAGTCCTGGCAAAGCAGACGGCCAGCCGACTGCTGGGAAGGTAAGACATGAAGAGACAGGAAGCAGGAAGGCAGGAGGCAGGAAGTAACCATCTGCTGTTCTGCAGGCCATGGGGGGAGGAGCTTCTGCAGGATGCCTGTTCCTCATTGGCTGAGGAGTTGAGTCTGGACCCATCGGCGCCAGGCGGCATGGTGACGTACCGGCGGACTCTGAGCCTCAGCCTGTTCTACAAGTTCTACCTGACGGTGCTGCAGAAGCTGCGACTGCAGGTTCTCAGGTTCTCCCCGTTGTTCCTTGTGATTAAAACAAAATAGAGCTTATTTCAAATGTTTTCATGTCGTCTGTCAGGGAGTTGCCGTGGACGACGTCGCCTCAAACTGTCTGACCGCGACAGAAGTTTACTGTCCGCAGACGCCGACCAGTGTTCAGATCTACCAGGTAACCCATTGGCCACAGAGCAGACACTGACGTCCAATAGGAATGAAAGATTTTACTGTGAAGACTCAGGTTCAGTGGCCAAGTGTGTAATTTGACACTCCTTTTGTAGGCGGTGCCACAGGGGCGGAGTCAGGATGACGTGGTAGGCCATCCTATGATGCACCTGTCGGCCATGAAGCAGGCGACAGGTGAAGCGGTTTACTGCGACGACATCCCGCTGTACGAGAACGAGCTGTACCTGTCACTCATCACCAGCAGCAAGGCTCACGCTCGGATCCTGTAAGACACCTGGACACACACACACCTGTACACACCTGTACACACATCCTGCAGTCTAACCGTGTGTGTTACGTGTCGCAGCTCTGTTGATGCAGCGGCGGCGGAGAGTTCCTCAGGTGTCGTTTGCTGCCTGTTTGCTGACGACATCCCCGGCAGTAACGCCACCGGACCAATTGAATATGACGAGACCGTGCTCGCTGAAGGCCAGGTGTGTTTCTGTAAATGTGACCAATCATGGGGCTCCGTGGGGTTCAGGTTGGTCACGTGTCTGTCTTCTGCCCAGGTGACCTGCGTGGGACACATCATTGGCGCCGTGGTGGCCGACACTCAGCTTCACGCTCAGCGAGCCGCCAGAGCAGTCAGGATTCAGTACGAAGAGCTGCCGCCGGTCGTCACCATCCAGGTGAGACTCACCTGAGCTGCCGTCGACCAATCACAGCTGATGATTAGATTCAAGCTGATCTGTGTTTGTTGGTTTGACTGACAGGAGGCCATCGCTGCCCAATCCTTCTACCAGCCAACCAGAACCATCCAGAAGGGAGACCTGGAGGCGGGGTTTAAACAGGCCGACCACATCTTGGAAGGTAAGAAGACCTCTGAGTGAGAATCCCTCTGATTGGTCCTCAGGTATTGATTATTGATTATTGATTGGCTGTCAGGTGAGATTCACATCGGAGGTCAAGAACATTTCTACCTGGAGACCAATGTGACCCTTGCTGTTCCCCGAGGAGAAGATGGCGAGATTGAGCTGTTCGTGTCCACGCAGTCAGCCTCCAAAACACAGGTACAAGTACTGCAAACCCCAGGTACAAGTACTGCAAACCTCAAGTACAAGTACTGCAAACCGCAGGTACAAGTACTGCAAAACACAAGTCACAAAACTCAGGTAACAATACTGTAATAAACAGGTAATAGTACTTCCAAACATGGGTCCCGTTTTAACGCTGAATTTCTCTCTATTTTTGGATTCTGCTGCAGGTGCTGGTGGCGAAGGCGCTGGGCATCCCCGCCAACCGAGTTCTGGTCCGAGTGAAGAGGATGGGTGGTGGGTTTGGTGGGAAGGAGAGTCGGACCACCGTGTTGTCCACTGTGGTTGCCGTGGCAGCGAACAAGTACGTCACAAATCGATCGGTGATCAATAATAAATCCGGTGAAACGCTGAGCTTGTGACCGCCTGTGTTCCAGGCTGAAGAGGCCGGTCAGGTGCATGTTGGACCGAGATGAGGACATGTTGGTCACTGGAGGACGACACCCCTTCTATGGGAAGTACAAGGTGAGAGGGCGCCCCCTGCTGGAGCTGTTTGTTGCATTTTCTTTAGAACAGAGTTGTATGTTGACAGGAAACTTGCGTCGCTGCAGGTCGGGTTCCTGAACAGCGGAAAGGTTGTGGCTCTGGACGTGTCATATTACAGCAACGCAGGAAACTCGAAGGACCTGTCGCTGTCGGTGAGTACCAACCACAGTTCACCTGCCGCCTTCTGCTGAAGGTGTTCTAACATCACATGTGTTCTCCAAGATCATGGAGCGCGCTCTGTTCCACATGGAGAACTCGTACAGTGTGGCCAATGTGCGTGGCTGCGGCTTCCTGTGTCGTACCAACCTGCCATCCAACACCGCCTTCAGGGGCTTCGGTGGGCCGCAGGGCATGATGGTGGCCGAGAGCTGGATCACCGACGTGGCTCAGAGTCTGGGCCGCTCCGCGGATGAGGTTTGTGATGGTAAATGACCTGCTGATGGCTGAGTGGATGAGCAGCGTCCAATCAGTGTCTCCGTCCTCCTGCAGGTCCGTCGGTTGAACCTATACAAGGAAGGCGAGTTGACACCCTACAACCAGATCCTGGATCACCTGACTTTGGACCGCTGCTGGGACGAGTGTTTGTCCCGCTCTGGATACCAGCAACGCCGAGCTGCCGTCGAGCTGTACAACAGGTGAGCTCCTGTTTAAAGGGTTCTGTAACGTTTCCTGAAATTCATAAAGTCAACAATAGACCACAAGAGACACGAACTGCAAGAACAGACTCACAATGACCAGGCAGAGACACACATCAGATGGACATCAAAATGTAAAAAAAACAACTAAAAATAACAACAGAGAAAGTCAAACTAACCAGAAACAGACCAACAATGAAAAACAGATGCAAAATGTAATGAAGTAATAAAGAGACTCAGAACTTCTCTTTTATCGTGGTTTCGTGTCACTTTAAGCGTGAAAACGGACCGAATCACCTGCTCACGGGAACTTTCTAATTGATCTCTGCACTAAGAAGTGTTTCAGGTGAACATGGATGGAACAACAAAACACAAGTACATGGTCAAAAAAGTCAGACGGTGAAGATGATGACCAGAGTGTCTGTCCCATCTCCAGATGGTGTGGTACTGGTTTATTTACAGCAGCTACATAAAGCTTTAGAACGTTTGAGTGGATAAAACATCTGAAGGTGTCATTCCTCAGAAAGTAAAAGCTGGTGGCTGCCACTTTAGCTCACCTGGTTGAGCTGGCGACCCAGGTACAGGAGCTGTAGTGTCCGATGCAGCGGCCGTAGGTTCGAGTCCCGCTCGTGGCCCTTTGCTGCATCTCCTTCCCCCGTCCTCCTCCCCCACTTTCCTGTCTCTCTTTTGACTGTCCTGTGAAATAAAGGCAAAAAGGCCAAAAAAATAACTAAAGAAAAAAAAAAAGCAAAAACTGTTTTTCTGTTCTCTGCTCAGACAGAACCGCTGGACGAAGCGAGGCCTTGCTGTGGTTCCCACCAAGTTCGGCATCAGCTTCACCGCCGTCTTCCTCAACCAGGTGGGTTCTAACCCAACCCAACCCAACCCAACCCCTAACCCAGTGCTTCTCAAATGGTGACCCCGGGCCAGTGTTCATTTTGTCAATGAAAACTCAAATGAAAACTTTTCGTTCACGACCCATTTTTCCGTGACTAATTTGTGACGAGAATGTAAATTTAACGGAAAACATTTGAGAACCACTGCCCTAACCCCACCCTAACCCTAACCCAGCCAAGAGGGTTCTAACGCTAACCTGTGTTCAGGCCGGTGCTCTGGTTCATATCTACACCGACGGCTCGGTTCTGCTGACCCACGGAGGAACCGAGATGGGACAAGGACTCCATACCAAGATGGTCCAGGTACAGGACGTGTAGGACCAGCAGCTTTTCACTGATTTTGAAATTCTACATCAGTAATTTGCAGCTTTGTTGCTTTTATTTCTATAAAGTAAAGACGACACCATCATGTGACCATCAGAGGAACTGCAGCTTCACATTAACAAGAGTTAAAATGTTAAAAAGAAGCAGCAAAGAGTAAAGTTTGAAGGCCTGATGTAAAGCGTTGTCAGGAAGGACTATTAACCTTTCAGAGACGTGAAACACTGCATCGTCTGCGTATATGTTGAGCTTTATGGTGTTCTTTAGGTCTCATCTGTGAGTGTTTCCAGGTCGCCAGCCGGGTTCTGGGGATCCCCTGTTCAAAGATCCACATCACAGAGACCAGCACCAACACGGTGCCCAACACCAGCCCCACCGCCGCCTCCGCCTCCTCCGACCTGAACGGCGGTGCAGTGCAGAACGCCTGCGAGACGCTGGTCAAACGCCTGGAACCGTACAAGGCCAAGAACCCCAAAGGATCATGGGAGGACTGGGTGAGCATAAGAGGAATATTAGAATCAGAATTTCAAATGAAACTTCATGACGTTGTAGCCCACAGCTTTGGCTTTTACAGTAACTGGACAGAGATGCTAGTAAACCTGTATTTACTACTTTTTCGTCGGTGAACAGTGTTTCTGCGTGTTGCAGGTGACGGCAGCGTATTTCGACAGAGTCAACCTCAGTGCAAACGGATTTTATAAGTGAGTTCAGTCACTGGTTCAGGTAATGTTTGATCCATGAAGAGAGGTTCACGGTTTTCTGTTTCTTCTCAGGACTCCAGATCTCGGTTACGACTTTGATTCAAACTCAGGCCGAGTGTTCAACTACTTCTGCTACGGAGTGGCCTGTTCAGAGGTGGAGATCGACTGTCTGACCGGAGCTCACAAGGTCCCACAAACAGAAGCTCAACAAGCAATGAATGAATTAAACACTACAAAGTGACTTCAACCCAATGCACATAAGACACATAAAACAGCTATAAAGTAACAAAAATCCAACACAAGGTGGCGCAAAACAGCTACATCACCACATTCCCAAACTTACATTGAAGGTTAAGGGAGGTGTTTCTCTGTGAATTAAATATGTGTTCATAATGTAGATTGATGTTGCACACCTGGATCGTTATTAGGCCCCAGTTTTTACCACATAAGTACTATCAGTGTGGGGACATGCACATGTGCACTTCTATGCTGATGACACCATCACATCTACTTGCTGTTCATGAACTCCAGACCGTTTGATCACCTCTTCAAACATCATTAGGGCATTCTTAAAACCAGTCTCTTAGAGTCTGAAACGGAATCGAACAGATGTCTCATCTATAAAACTGCTTAAAATTCAACTTTTATTTTCAGTATTGAAAATAGTGCAGTGTCTGCTGTTGGCATGATTCCTGAGTACAGTATAGACAGAAACTGTTTTTCATGTACAGATTATGCAAAATGAAAAGAAATACAGGCACAGAGGTGTTCAGAAGACATCTAGTGAAAATATTTGGCAGAAATCAGATTTGTTGAAAAGTAAAATAAAACATTAACAATTTGTAAAAGACCAAAAAAGATTTTCAGATGTTCAGTTTTGTCTGAAGTCAAACCAGCTTTAGTTTCTATTTTGTCTTTCTATATGCTGGTTTATTTGTAGCTTTGTCATTACTTTGTGTAAATCAGAGTATTTTTGTGACACATTTCATTACAGAACCTGAGCAGCACCATCGTGATGGACGTTGGTCACAGTCTGAACCCAGCGATCGACATCGGACAGGTCAGTGTTTACTGACAGCAGCAGCAAGTGCAGCATCATCTAAATATCTGTTTCCCTGTTCAGTAATCAGATTACTTCTACAGCAGAGTACTGTCTCTGATATAAGATTACAAACTACCAGCTCAGATCCACAGATTACCGTCAGGCTCCACAGCAGGAACTGAACGACAGTCAGTCCATCTCTGGTTCCTTCAGTCTTCATCTGCTGACAGACTCAGTCCTCCTCAGCATGGAGGAGACCAGAGTCCACTAGGTTCTGCTCACATGTTCTGATGGAGGAGACCAGAGTCCACTAAATTCTGCTCACATGTTCTGATGGAGGAGACCAGAGTCCACTAAGTTCCTGTCACATGTTCTCACGTTCTTCATTATTTTCTCTGTTCAGTAAACTTGTTCATCATCAGTGAGCCTATCCAGTGTCACCATTCATGCTTTTAATGTGGAGGTCGGTGCTTCCTGTGGCGCCCCCCTCAGGTCTAACTGTGCTGCTGCCTGTGCAGGTGGAGGGAGGCTTCATGCAGGGTCTGGGTCTCTTCACCCTGGAGGAGCTGCATTACTCTCCTCAGGGCGTCCTCCTCACTCGGGGTCCAGGCTCCTATAAGATCCCGGCCTTCGGCGACATTCCGACCCAGCTGACCGTCTCGCTGCTGCGCGACGCCCCCAACAACAAGGCCGTGTTTGCCTCCAAGGTACCGCCTCCGGTTCTGTTCAGACGTCACTGTTCTGCAGATAAAAGCTCACTCGTCTCCTCCTGACAGGCTGTGGGTGAACCTCCACTCTTCCTGGCTGCATCCGTCTTCTACGCCATCAAAGACGCCATCAGCGCCGCCCGGTCCGAATCGGGCCTGAGCGGTCCGTTCAGGCTGGACAGCCCCGCCTCGGCCGAGAGGATCCGCAACGCCTGCAGCGACCGGTTCACCAAACTGGTAGGATTTGATTGTTAGTGTTACTAGCTGGAGAACACAAAGAGGAACAGCAGGTGGCGCTAACGTGGTCGTTCAGAGCTCAGACAGTGAAAGAAGGAACCGTGGTCTCTGTAGATGCAACTTTTCCACCTCAGCCAAGCAGAACAGCATTTCTGTCCTGTTAGAGTTTATGGCACCGTCCTGTCCATCAAAGAAAACGGGTTCTGCTGCTGGTGCTGATCTCTTTAGGTTCTGTTTGAGCAGACGGACACCGATCGCAGCTACAGATCCACTGACAGTCGTATCAATGCTTTTATTTTCTGCGTTTTCCTTTAAAGACCTGCAGCACATAGAAGCTGACGCTTGAATACGTGAACTCATTAAAACATCGTTTTCTCGTCTCGGTGGCGACGAGCAGCTTAAAGCTTCACTCATTGGTTGTCTTGAAGTGTCTTAAAGCAAGTTGAACCTGTTTTGTGTTGCAGTGTCCTGCTGCTGAGCCGGGAACCTTCGTGCCCTGGTCCGTTCAGGTGTAGGACAGAGAAGGTCCACCATCAGTCCAGAACCACAGAACCCCGACAACACGTTCAGTAGAAATACATTTAAATATCTGTACAAACAACCACTAAACAGGCAGCAGGGTTGTTCATGCAGTTCTTCCTTCAGACCTGTTCATCGCGATCAAATGTGCTGAACAAGGATGTGTGCAGCTCGTACAGAACCAATGACATCGTGAAGATTCTAATATCTGCCACCAATATGAAGTTCAATCATAGCGGAGTTCAGTAATCCACTCACATAATCCAGAATTTGTTAGACGGGAACCTGAAGCTCTTGACTGATTCGTTCTGGGTTCGGGTCAGTCCCATCGTCGGTCTGTTTGTTGCAGTAATTTATTTTCTCATCACATTTGTAAATTAAATCTGAATTAAACAATGATGATTTTGTTCAATTTAATTATGAAATAAAACTTGCAGAATTTTAAGCAGACTTTTCTTCCATGAAGCCTAAACTATCAAACAGCCTCAGATTAAGATCCTTCAGCTTTGGACAGCGTCTCACTGAGCTGCAGCATTTAATTCTCAAGTGTTTCCAAGGATCCTGGAAAAATCGTCAGAAGAGGACTTGACCTCAAATATGAAACATTTTTGTGACAAAGTTAAAAGGCTTCACTGAAAATCTGATGTTTTGCTGCTTCACTGATTTCTGAGTTTAAATCACACC